GTTGGGGTGCAGGTGGGTTTTGGGGTGACCTGAACCCCCCCTGTTTTGAGAGTTTGGAGAGGGATTGGGGGGTTTGGGGTGATCCCTACCCCTATTTTCTGCCCCTTCAGTGGCTGTTGCCCCCAGACCTCTTCCATCACCTGCAGCGGGGGCATTTGGGGTCTGGGGGTTCGGGGGTGCCCAGGGAGGGTGTTGAGGTCCAGATGGGTTTTGGGGTGACCCGAACCCCCCCCTTTTCTCCCCTCCCCAGTGGCCGTTCAGGCCGGACCCGTTCCAGCAGCGGGCGGCCCTGTGCCTGGAGCGGGGGCAGTCGGTGCTGGTGGCCGCCCACACCTCGGCCGGCAAAACCGCCGTGGCCGAGTACGCCATCGCCCTGGCACGGCGCCACATGACACGGTGCGTGCACAAAACACACCCTGGGGGTCCCCAAAACTCACCCCCCCCCCAAAACCCATCCTTCAACTCACAATAGCCAAGTACGCCATCGCCCTGGCACGGCGCCACATGACACGGTGGGTGCACAAAACACACCCTGGGGGGCCTCAAAACACACCCTGGGGGTCCCCAAAACCCACCCCCCGAAAACCCACCCTGGGGGCCCCAAAACTCACTCTGGCGGTCCCCAAAACCCACCCCCAAAACCCACCCCTCAAGTCACAATGACCGAGTACGCCATCGCCCTGGCACGGCGCCACGTGACACGGTGGGTGCCCAAAACACACCCTGGGGGGCCCCAAAACCCACCTCCCCAAAACCCACCCCCAAAACCCACTGCTCAAGTCACAATGGCCGAGTATGCCGTCGCCCTGGCACAGCGCCACGTGACACGGTGGGTGCCCAAAACCCACCCTGGGGGGCCCCAAAACCCACCCTGAGAGTCCCCAACCCACATGAGGGTCTCTAGAACCGACCTACCTGGACCTCAAATGGTGATGGCCGAGTGCGTCATCACCCTGGCACGGCCCCATGTGACCTTGGGGGTCCCCAAACCGCACCCTGGGGGTCCCCAAAACTCACCCTGGGGGACCCCAAACCACATGGGGGTCCCCAAAACCCATTCTGGGGGTCCCCAAAACCCACCCCTTGGACCTCAAACGGCGGTGGCCGAGTACATCATCACCCTGGCAAGGCCCCATGTGACCCTGGGGGTCCCCAAACTGCACCCTGGGGGTCCCCAAACCACATTGGGGTCCCCAAACCACATGGGGGACCCCAAACCACATGGGGGTCCCCAAAACCCACCCTGGGGGTCCTCAAAACCCACCCTGAGGGATCTTAAATGCTCTCTGGCTTCAACCCAACCTCCCCAGGACCCCCTAAAACCCCCTGGGGGTCTCCAGAACTCTGTTGCCCCCCGCCCCATATTTGTCTTTCCTGCTCCTACCGAGGGAGCTCTGTGGGGTCCCATCCATTGACTCCCCCCACATCCTTCCCAGGCCCATCTCCACCTCGGGGGGGGCCTGGGAGCTGTCCCAGGGGTCCCCCCCAACCCCTGACCGCCCCTGTTTCCCCCCCCAGATCCATCTACACGTCCC